GAATAAAACGGATGAATGAGACCTTCTAAGAATCCAATCCCTATGCACATCAAAAAGCTGCTCCAGCATTTACCCAGGTCTTCGAGTGCTGGAGGTGGTGGTCAGGAAGTAGGCTTCTGCTGTTGGGCTTCTGTCCACTCTGCGGCGCAAACACCTTCCGCACAGGACATCAATGCAAGCCTGAATAGGAAAAACAATTCCTTCCACCTAAGCCATGGCTTATCAGTTATACAGAAATACCGCCTTAGGAAACAATCTTCAAGAGAGCCTAGATGAGCTCATTCAGTCTCAACAGATAACCCCCCAACTTGCTCTTCAAGTTCTCCTTCAGTTTGATAAGGCTATCAATTCAGCATTGGTTCAGAAAGTCAGGAACAGAGTCAATTTCAGGGGCTCTTTAAATACGTACAGATTCTGCGATAATGTGTGGACTTTTGTTTTGAATGATGTTGAATTCAGAGAGGTGACCGAGAGCTTATTAAAGTGGATAAAGTGAAAATTGTAGCCTGTGATGGTAAAAATACTGCCTCCAATACGACAGAATGAACGGGGGGAAATGGCTTTTTTATGCCATCCTCTGTTATTACTCTTGGCTTTTTGAAGAGAAACTTAGAAGAGACTTTTTAAATTTATTCTAGCAATGCAGAAATTACTCCATTGTGCTGTGCTGTCGGAGAAGTCCAGTAGAAAGCTCGTAACTTTAGCCACTTCCATTCACTTACTATGCAGCATGAAGAAACCCAATTTTTTTAATAACAAATCAAAAGTTGTTACCTTCCTATAAATATTCTTTAATAAATGAATTTTAAGACATTAAAAAAAAAACCACAAAAAGCTGCTCCAACAGAGGAAAAAGGAAACTCAAAGCTTGAGATAAAATATTCAGCAATCACAAATCTGATAAGGGACTTAAGTCTAAAATGTATGGAATATTCCGGCACCTCAACAAGAAAAAAGTAAACAACCCAGTCACAAAATGGGGACTGGATATGAATAAATATTTCACCAAAGAAGACATTTATATGGAAAACAAACACGAAGAAATATTCAAAATCTCCAGCTATCAAAGAGATGCAAATCAAAGCAATGAAATACCATTCCACCTAAGCAACTATCGCAAAGTTAAACAGGGCAGCAAAGGACGAATGCTGGTGAGGTTGTGGAGAGATTGGAACTCTTACTCACTACTGGTGGGAATGGAAAATGGAAGATGGTCTGATGTTTTCTCAAAGAGTTGGAAATAATAGGGAGCTCTGGTGGCCTACTTGCAAGAAGCTGTGCTGCAATCTCAAAAGTGCATGGTTCTAACCCACCAGATGCTCCACTGGAGTAGAAAGGGCAATCTCCTCCTTTGCCGGCTGAATCCGATTCAATGGTGCACAATAACAAACAAAAAACCTAGGCTGTCCAAAATCCTTGGTAATAGAATTGTTTACCTTTGAATACTTCTCTGCTTCATAAGCATTACTGACTGGGTGTTCATGCTTTTGTATGGCATGTACCATCCTTTAAACCCTGTTATGACATGTGCACATTATCTGTTTGATGTGAAGAAAAAGAAAGTTGGAAATAGAAATACCATTTGACCCAGCAACTCCACTACTGGGAATATACCCTAAAGAACCAGACCACCATCCAAACATATGTACACACATACATGTTTATTGCAGTGTTATTCTTAATAGCAAAGAGATGGAAACAACCCAAATGCCCATCAAAAAATGAATGGATAGAAAAACTGGTATATTCACACAGTGGAATATTATGCAGCATTGAAAAACAATGACCTTGTAAAACATTACACAACATGGGCGAGCCTCAAGGACATTATATTGAGTGAAATATCTCAGTCACCAAAGGACAAATATTGGATAACACAACTTATAAAAGAGGACAGGCTTGGAGGGCTTTGGGGAGAGAATGGGAAAAGAGTGGATAGATAATGAACACTGCAATAGAACAGGTGAGGGGAAGAACTGTCTAAAAGGAATATTTGTTTAGGCATTATATGTATGAAAATGTGGAACAAGAGGTGCAATGCAGGGTGGATGGAGTGAGGAGGGAGGAGGAAGAAAATGTGCAACAACAAAAAGTATTTTTAGGGGAGCTCTGGTGGCCTAGTGGCAAGAAGCTGCACTGCAATCCCAGAGGCGCACGGTTCGAATCCACCAGATGCTCTGCTGAGGAAGGAGGGACAATCTCCTCCTGTATCAGTCAGATCTGATTTGATGGTACACGCACACACACAAATAATAATAAAAAAAAGTATTTTTAAAAATTTACAACCTATTAAACTGATGGAGGATCACTGAATCAACTTGAAGCCAGTCCGTTTGAGGTTTTTGAAGGAGTATCTTTGAATCTGCTCTCTCCCTTCCTATAACTAATTTACTACCATCAACATGCTGGGTTATGTAAACTCTTAAAACTTGCTCCTTTCCGTTTCCTCAGTCACCCACCTTAGTCAGGTAGACCATCCACACCCCTAGACCTTAGGTAGGTAGATTGCTGCTTTGGTCCCAGTGATTTCTCATTTAAATTCCCTTGCCCCTCATCACTTGTACATATGATAGCTATGGTGATACTTGTTAAAATACAAATCTAATTAGATCATCTATCAGCCTAAAACCTTCAGTGGCTGCCCATTTCTTAGAATGTTGTTAGATACTGTGGAGTCAGAACTGACCCTCGGTGGGTTTTCAGAGTAAATCACATGGGAGGAGATTGCTCATCTTCGTCTATCTGAACAGCTGGTGGCTTTGTATTATGTGCCTTTTGGGTTGGCAGCACAAGACCCACACAGTGTTATTATGTTCAACAAGCTTCTGATTGCCATCTGCTCTCCTTCCACTTTTGTCCTCTTCATTCCAGCCTCATCAGCCTCTTCTCAGCTCTTTCCTGGCTCCCAATCCACTGTTTCCTTGTCAAGCACACCCTCCCTTCAGTTTAGTTGGATTTCTGAGAGCCATACTTCTTGCCCTTAGATTAGTCATCAAATAACTGACAGTGAGTAGATTGTCCAACCTACTGACCCAAGAGAGTTGACTATCATATCGTGAAAGGCCTAAAATAAAAACAAAAATACGTAAAAAGAACAAAAATTATTGAAAGACTTCATTGCATTAGACCACAAGAAAGATATAAAGAGATTTTGGGGTACTGCTTTATGTACAGGAGATAATTAGTGAATGTATCTAGGTGACTTTGAACATCAAGAATCCAAATATGGGGAAAAAAGGAATCCAAATATGATGAGCCTGTAGACTCAGAAGATAAGTCTTACAGATATTGAGGCGGCTTCTAAGTAGAAGGAGGTGGCTAAACCTTAACCAGTTCCTACCATTTTCTTAGTCCTTTAAGAAAAGGAAGCAGGGGTTGGTTGTCACAGGTGGACTGAAAAAGAACAGTGGTGAAGATGAAAAACACTACAATTCAGGCTTGAAAACAGATAGAAGATTTTATTTTTTAAAAATAAATGCTAACTACCCCAATCAGCAAGGATTGTACAAATGAATACAGAGGAAAAGATCTAAAATTCTTTTTTTTAGGTCTTTCTTTTTTCATTATTAATTTTAGTTAATGTTTCCAGAAACTTTGGATTTCCGTTCATTCCTTGTTGCGTTTTTCTCCCTGCCCACCCCTCCCCCCTAAAAATCTTTTTTTGTAAATACATTTTGAATCATATTGGGAATCAATATGGAGATAGCTCTGAGAACCTCGGCTTCAGCAGCTCCGCCCCCATCTATTTAAACACACACACACACACACTCACTCACTCTCAGCAGCTCCGCCCCATCTATTTACACACACACACACTCAACAGCTCCGCCCCATCTATTTACACACACACAC